TTTTTTTTTTTTTTTTTTTTTTTTTTTTTTTTTTTTTTTTTCGTTTGCTTACTTTCACACTGCGATTCCATGCAGGGAGAAATCACCTTGTTCTGATATGAGCGCTTGTTTTTATATTCATTTGCTTAATTTCATTCAACGATGAGATACAGAGGGAAATTGTTATTCGATGTTGAATAGGTTAGTTAGCTCTATGAATAACAACTTCCCAGTCTTGCTCAAAAGCTACCCGAGGCTGCCACCTGTGTGTTCACCGGACAGCAGCCCCCAAGGCCATATCCATGTTCGTAATCTGGCATTCCTAATTTCTATGTGGCGCCAACTCGATGGTTAGTGTCGTCTATGGTGAGACCCTGTCTCATGTGCGGATCAAGGAAATCTTGATTATCAGATTAGATTGATACGTTCTCGCGCATTTGATAGGCTCGTGGACACGGCCGGGGCCGTGTCCAGTATCGAGTTATCCTTCTATAGGAGTAGTCTAATGGAGACAAACCCACAGCCAAGACAAATGGTTAGGTGAAAAGTGCATCTTTGCGCATGGTACCACACTGGCGACGTTTTCCCGGTACTACGCCAGGTTGTCGATATTTTTCTACTACGACAGCATGTTCTGTGGTCCACCGTTGGGTTCCCACGTATGTACTCAGCCCTCGTCTTGCGCCTCCACGACGAGATTCAACGACGGTTGCCATCGTCTTCCTTTCCAATCCGTTTTTCTTTTTTTCGTTTTGAGCATTCGTGCAATAAGTTAGAAATCAGAATCTCGCCATGGTAGGTGCTGCGTCACTCAATCCCGTTCAACCAGCCGTGAACCTAGTACTGGACTCGGGGAGCACGACACCTGCACCGGATCCTGAAAAGCCTAGTCAGTCAGCTTCAAATGAGAGGGAGGCTCCAGAAAGGATCAACAAGGTTGAGGGGTATGGAGCGGCTGGAGTCGAGAAGGCCGAAGCTGCAGCCCTTGTCTGGAGCAAAACTGCTCTGTGGGCGATTTATGCCTGGTACACCATCCCCCTTTTTTTGTTACAGTCGGTTGTCCTGTATGAGGAACCAACAGCTAACAGCCATGGTGGTATCCTAGGATTTGGGTATCCTTTTTCATGTTGGCGTTCCATTCTTCGATCGGCACCAACGTCCTCGTGAACGCATACGCAAATTTCAAGACCGCTCCCGAGATTTCGACGGCGGCCATCTTAGCCACGGTGGTCGGGGGAGTGGTGAAGCTACCCATTGCCAAAATCCTGAATATCTGGGGACGAGCCGAGGGCATGCTGGCCTTTACGGGCTTGTTCCTGCTGGGTATTATCATCCTGGCATCCTGCCGTGGCCCGAGTGGGTATGCCGCTGGATATGTGCTTTACTGGGTTGGCTACAATGCCATCTACCTCATTCTGGATGTTTTCATCGCCGACACGTCTGGGCTTCGAAATCGGGCCTTTGCCTTTGCCTTCTCGAGTACCCCCTTCATCTGCACAGCGTTCACCGGCCCATTGGCCGCCCAATCCTTCTTGAACATGACCACATGGCGGTGGGCATATGGCGCTTTCGCGATCATCTTTCCCATCGTCCTGCTGCCCCTCGCTATCGCTTTCAAGCTTTACGAACTCAAGGCGAGAAAGCTGGGTTTATATCAACCGAACGGCCCCGGCCGTACCTGGGCGCAATCACTTCAACATTATCTCCACGAGTTCGACGGTAGGTCACGGTTTCTTTTCCCGTAGCCCTTCGTTTGTTAACCGTTTGCCGGATCGCAGTCGTCGGTGCGCTTCTCTTGATGGGCACGTTTATTCTTCTCCTGCTTCCCTTCAGTCTCGCCGTCTACGGACGGGCCCAATACCAATCAGCGACCTTCATTGCCATGCTGGTGATCGGCTTCTGTCTCTTTTTCGTCTTCATTGCCTGGGAACGATTCTTCGCCCGCCAGCAATTCATCCGGTATGATCTGCTCAAACAGCGAACCGTCCTCGGAGCATGTGTCCTCTCGGCAGTACTCAACCTGGGCTACGCGGTCTGGGACCTCTATTTCCTCAACTTCTGCATGGTGGTGTACGACCTCAGCGTCTCAAACGCAGGGTACATGAATCAGATCTATAACGTGGGGTCGTGCTTCTGGGCACCCTTGTTTGGGATCTACATTCGCCAGACGAAGCACTTCAAGCACGCGTGCCTCTTCTTTGGACTACCCTTGATGCTTCTCGGTTCCGGTCTGATGATCCATTTCCGCGGGGAGCACGACCATATCGGATATCTCGTCATGTGTCAGATCTTCATTGCCGTTGCTGGTGGTACTCTGGTGATTGGGCAAGATATGGCGGTGATGAGCGCCGCCGATCATGACGGCGTGCCCATGATGCTCTCCATCCTCGGGCTTTTTGCGAGTCTTGGGGGTGCGGCAGGGAACGCGATTGCTTCTGCGATCTATACAAATGTGTTCCCGAGCCGATTGCGACAGAATCTTCCAGCTGAGGTGAAGGACGACTGGGCTGAGATCTATGTCGGTGGCTATCTCACGCAGATGGCCTATCCATTGGGCTCGGAAGTTCGAACCGCCATCAACCACGCGTGGGGGGACAGCCAAAAGTATAGTTGTATCGCGACAACCGCGGTTATCGCTCTCGGGGTTCCGTGTATAGCGGTCTGGAAGAACTTGGCTGTGGATCGGAAGCAGAACCAGGGAGTCATGCTGTAACCATTGATCCCACCCGCATCTTAGTCATCGCTGGGGTTCAACCTCGGTCTTCCGAAACAAGAACATCCCTCTTCTCGACGATGAGAGGCCCTTTATCCCCTGCAACAGTTCTGATAAAAATATAGAAAAATTCCGGAAAATATTCCTATCCCCAAAAGTATTTTTTGGGAATTTTTTCTACTATTGAAAATGCTAGTTGGACTTGAAGTGTGGTCACCCTCTGGTGCAGATACCACTCGGATATGCTAGGATATATATGTCGCATTTACGTACAACACTGAGCTCATCTGAGCCTGTTTAGAAGGGCAAATTTCGTAGCAATACTTGGTTCATGAGCCTAAAAAATGTTTGCATTTGTTGATGAAAGAAAGTATTATGAATGTTCTATTTTCCGTGAATTTTCCGGATTTTTGTCCAGACACGATCGGATATCGTAAACAAAACACAAATGTCGGCGTCCACCGGTGTCACGTGGACGCAGTGTGTTTACTTTCTTGCACTCCGACTAGTTATACAAGTTCTCTGTCTCTCCCCCACACTCTCCTCAACCAAGGATGAAGCTCTCGTTCACGCACGGGATACCAACGCAATGCTGATCTCCACAAGTTGTTCTTCTCACATCCGGAGAGCAGTCCCCAAAGTATTTCACTTATCAATCATTCCAGAGACTCGGAGCGCAGCCCAAAGATGGCACCAACCCAGTCCCCGCGCGACTCCACCCAGCCAGAATCTGGGCTTCAGGATACTTCACCCGGTCCGACCGATCCACTCTCAGCCCGATCCAAACCACCATGATACACATCAACGCCAACGATTGTTTGATTTATCGCTTAGCCTTTCGCGAACGCAGCTGAGTGGGAACACGGACATGCAATACACGCGCTACAATGGCCATGGCGTGGCGATGCCCTTCAACCGGCTGACGAAGCTCGACATGGTCAACCAATTTGGCCTCAGCGCACGCGATCTGCGCACACTCGATGTCCCGTCGGATGGCTTCCCACATATCCTCATCCGGGAATCCACCCTGCTGATCCATATGTTCAATCTGCGGCTGTTGGTGCAAGCCGACCAGATGCTGGTCTGCCACATGGAACCAACGCCCACAGAAGAATCCGATACGATCTCACGCGTCTTCCTCCGTGATCTGGAGTCGAAACTACGCGGGGACCCCGGCTTGGGCGTGTCCGTGGGGTTGCCGTACGAACTGCGCGTCCTCGAGGCGGCGTTGGCGGCGGTCACCTCCACTCTCGAAGCCGAGTACGTGCTAACCAAGGATCAAACCATGAAGACCCTGCGAATGGTGGATAAGGAAGAAGGCGAGATCCATTCGAATCTACGAACATTGTTAGACCTCATGCGAAAACTCGCGACGATCGAGAAGCGCGCGCGGCAGGTCCGCAGTGCGGTCCAAGACGTATTGAATACGGACGAGGATATGGCCGGGATGTACCTCAGCGACAAGCAAGCCGGAAAGCCTCACCACGTGGAGGACCATCGGGATGTGGAATACTTGCTGGAGGCGTACTACAAGGCGAGCGATGCGGTCGTTCAGGAAGCGGCGAGCCTAATGGGGACGATTCAGCAGACAGAAGAGAGTATACAGTCGATCCTGGACGTGTGGCGCAACCAGATCATGGTGCTGGAAGCCAAGATTGAGATCCTGATGTTAGGAATGGCCGTGGCAACGCTCGTAGCGGGCTGGTATGGCATGAATGTCGTCAACTACTTCGAAGAGAGCGGCACGGCCTTTGCCGTACTGGTTTCATCCTGTCTGGTCGCCATCGCGTTCCTTTCGCGATATGGCTTCCGGCAGCTGCGGAGGATCCAGAAAATGCATCTATAGAGCGAGATATTCGGCAGCCACCATGCCGCAGATGACTGATGTATCTCCCAAGCCAACGACAGCGTAGCGGAATATTGGGTATTTGAGAGATATCATTCTGATATTTCAATAACATGGGGGTCTCGGCGTGCAGATGAGCGGTGAATTGCATGGGTACAAGCTACAGACTCAAACGTTCAAGTCTTGAGCTTCTGCGGGAATATTCGAGAGGACTATAAACCACCGCGCTCATACTAACGCGGTCGGCTTTACTGTATGAGATGAGACGTATTACCATTCCTAAGTCGTTGACGTCAAAGCCTTAACGGTAACTTCTAGACTGTCTACAACGGTTGCAGTTAACAATATGCTAGCCTTTATGCCTGGACAGAATGGGACGGAGTTTACTCTCGCCCGTTCCCCAAGACAGTGGAATATTGGAAGACATCGTACAGCTCTTGGTCGCCGTAGACACTGATTCGGATGTCAGCGGCAACGATGTCATAACGCTGGCTACAAACTGCAGCATCGCTGGCCACCTTCGAGGACGTCCGAGATCAAATCTGCGATGACTTAAGAAATTCCACTGAGACTCCTCTTCAATGATCACTGGCTGACCTGTGACATGAGACCCCAGAAAATGCTTGACCTTACGACTGACATAGTCCACCTCGAAGTTAGGGATTGGCTGCGCGTCAGATTGTATTAAGCAGCAGTGACAATAGACAATCGGTAACTTTCCCGCCGTGGGCTTTCCGAGTAGAGCATCGGCGATCCGGGAAGGCGTCCTGAACGATAAAGAGGGAAGAACAACTCGCTCCAGATAGCTTAGGATAAGCTCGTTGATCAGATCAACCACACGATCCTTGCATGGGTCGACCAAAACTGCAAGATTCTGAGTTTGATGCGAGCTGATTTCGATAGGGACGCCGCCGCTGGTGGCGATATCCAGAGGCACATGCGGCCGAAATGGGTCGTAAAGCTTCAAGTTCCTGGACTCGAAGGACATGGTCTCCTAGGGGATATGGTCCTAGGCAAACTGACTCTGGCAAGGGTAGCGGGCAAGGAGAAATCACATTGGCGTCGTTAGGTGGCGCTGAATGCATGTGCAGTAACCGTAGCCCAGAGAAGTCAACGCCCTCCCGGAGCTGCCGCTCAATTCGGTCTACATCTGTCTCTGGTTTCCGTAGAGGGTGACTGTGCCCAGCAAAAGATGTCTGAGCGAAATCGGTGCCGGACACGTACTCTTCTTACAGGATGAAACCCGCTGATCTAGTTGTCACGATTAAGAGTCCCGCTGTGGGCCATCTCCCATGCTATGATAGTGGCTATACACTACGTATAGGAAAAGTGGTTGGCCCCTAAGGTCCCGCATGCCAACGCATGAAAACTCTGTCATTGCTATCAGGCATCAGTATTATTCTTGTGGCCAACAATAAAATCAGTCCCTTTCCGTTTAAACAACCTCTCAGTGGGGCTCAGACGTTCCACCCGGAAGTTATAATTCTGCTTCATTGCAACACAGTGGAGAAAATGCTGAGGTAAATCAGCCTCCAAGAATGCTCGATAATAGGCCTCTCTGCTAGGGGGGTGTAGATGGAAAATGGTTTCCATGCGTCTCCAGTCATCTGCATTGCCCTCCTCCCAGTGATACGTGCAAGCCCTACAGTACGTGCCGGGCTCCAATGTTCGTGTCCGAGAGTCCCAGTATGGAAATGCCACTGACGCCTGCAGTCTCCATGAAGGTTCGCCGTCGTTCTCCACCAGTGGTTTAGGATTCCACCGGCGCCGGGGTCGTCCGCCAGTGTGGGTTCCTTGATGCCGGCGTGTTTGCCATTCCTGAACCCGGCGTTGGTAATCTCTTTCATACTCCTTCCGACGAGTCTGGTACGCCCGCTCCATTTCCTTCTTACTTCCATGGAGCTTTATTCCCACGGCCTTTGCTCGAGCAACATCCATTAAGTGGTGTGGAGGCTTTTCTGGATGGTAAATGATTGGGAGTTTTGACCGATGAATATCCGCTAGAGTCAATGCAAACTTTAGACAGATATCACGCATGGGCGCCACTTCGTACTCGGGTCGGAGATAACTGCATTTATAACATGAACGGGTCAAGGTCGGGAAGTAAAGAAAAGGGCCGAAATCGGTACAGGTCCGGCACCAGGGATGGCAGAACTCAGTGAAAAGCCGACCGATGGGAAAATATGATGCGCACTTGGTAATATCCATCATACGGAGTGTGTCGGAGGCCAAGGCCCTCAACAAAGAGTACGCCGGAAGCGATTCGACTAAACACCTTCCTCTGGTGCTGACTCGACGCAACCGCCCTAGACTGGGTAGATCGAGATTGAGCAAGATCAAGTGGACGATTTCGAGTGGGAGCCGATCCAACAGAGGTGTATACTTCGGATTGATTCTTGATTTCTTAGGAGGGGGAGCTTTGTATAACATCACCGCGGGCTTGGAATCATCTGGACTGAGGTAGTAATCCAGGGTCTCCCTGCACGGCTTCTCGCACCGATATGCTGTGCCTGACGCCATGTGAAACAGAATGGTGTTTGAATGGCTTGGATAGAATGAACCAGGTGAACGATCAAAGAGCAGTGCTCTTATCCCTCCTTTTTGAAGTTCTCGGCCTCTCTTTCCAGTGTTTGCATCATGAATACGTTCTCCTAGGGACGGTACTAAGACTCTTGGCTGGAGGGAGGTGGTTCCTTGGTCGAATAAAGGGGAGCTATGGAAAAGGCACTGGAAGGAACAACAGTATCGATTGATTGCACCGACCATATGATGGTGTAAGCCCACATTTCTGTACCTTGATCGGCACTAAATAATACGATCTAGGCTACAGGATCATCGCTATCCGCCGCTTCCTCTTCCTCCTCTTCCACCTCTTCCTCCTGCTGGTTGCCCCCAGCCCCCCACCTCCAACTGGCCGCCATGGCCCGTTCGGGTGCCGCGACCAAGAACACCGCCGTCAGACGCTGATGAATGAAGTGAAGTGCACTCAAATTAAAGAAGCATTCGACATATGTACAACGAAAGTTAACCATAGAAGGAAAGTAGGCCCTGGTATCCGATTTACCCCTGTGCTTGATGTTGATTCCACAGTGCCTTACGCCGTGGCCCCAGAGATCTTGAGGGTGTAGTCTAGCCCTTGCTGCACCTCCTCGGTGAGCTGGAAGGCGTCATACTGGTAGAGTGTCTTGGGGGTGTTGGCAATCACCACGCTGGCTTCTTCATTGCTGGCAACCACAGCCGAGCCCGACCCATTCTCGAGCGCGACATACCGAACAGCGCCTGTGTTGGTGTTGTGGATGGCCAGCGTTGCGGTGAATACTCCGCTGGCGGTAATGCTCACTTGAACGTTGCCAGCTCCGGTGCTACGGAGGGGGATGATGTTGGCACCCATGTACTGAGGCTTGCGAGAAGACTGGACCACATAGGTGCCATCGCCTTGGGAGTCAGTGTTCGCGTAGTTGAGGTCGCTCCTTTGGCTGAGGAATGCCTGCTGCGCAATTGTGTGGCCGATGTCCACATAAGCCATGCGAGCCCAATAGCGACCGACAATCTCCTGCACGGATGCGGACGTCGCAACGCGCGCAAGGGTATGGAGAGGCGTCTCATTGCTGCCCTTGTCATATTGTTGGAACAGCTGGCGAACCACATCGCTGCCCAGGCCCTCATAGTTGTCCGGGTTGTTGGTCAAATATGTCAAGAACGGCCACGCCTGGTAGTAGTTCCCACTGCCCGTTGAGCCATCCACGATGACCTGGAAGGAATCTCCGATCACTTTGTTCAGCTCGATCATGGTATCACCGGTCGGTTGGTTGTAGTTGGACCGTGCCTTCGCACATAGTGGAGAGGTGATGAAGGTATCTGCCACCCAATTGGCGAGCGTTTCCCACCATGCACCGGTCGCAGTCTGGTCCACCCAGGTCCGACTGTGATAGGTGAGGGCATGGCCATACTCATGGACGGTGACTCGCGGATCCGCGAGGGAAGATGGAATCACCTCCAGCCAGCTGAGACCGGTGTTGGGGTCAGACTTCAGTACGCCTGCCGCCCCGCCCAGATCACTTACTTCGTAGACATTTTCCTTCCACAGGGTCGTCACTGTGTTGGGGTCCGCGTTATATGACATCCCCGAAGTCGTCCACCCGAGGTCACCGACAAAGCAACTATAGGCAGCTTCCAACATGGTCAAAACCGCGTCTGCATTGCTCTGGTCCGATAAATAGAGGCGGAAGTGGTCGGAATCCTTGTAGCTCGCTCCGCCGGGCCCAACATTGGGATTCGCCGTGAATGATATTGGCTGAGCACCGGAAGTAGCTTGCGGGGCCGGTGCTGCAGAGGCCTGAATCGCCGACAAAAGAAGTATGGGAATGATCAGTTTCTTAGACGCCATAGTGGTCAAATAGAAGAAGATAATGGCTTGTCGTCCCCTTTCTCGAGGGGCCCCGGCCACCATTTATTTATACTTATCCCGGTATTTCGAAATGCAGGACCCCTAAAGTGCCAAGAAGATCTTGGAGCAATCAGGGCGATTGTCGGTCTTCTGCTTTAGGGATTAACATCTATATGAGACATTTCCCGACAGCAAATGCTGCCGTGCTCCTCTACCGCAACACCTGAGGCTGGATCTACCATTTGAAGCCTCTTCGCCAAGGAGAAATAATGAAACTAGGTCTGAGCCGGGCATCGGGGGCACGACAATCGAGCGAAGGATGAATGACCCCGGTGATGTGATATCGACTGCCCTCTTGAGTCATGACTGGCTCCACCTTGTAAACCTCGTTGTGGACTTGAGCCTAAAGTGCACGTTTTGGTCAGGCTACAAGGAACTTGTGGGGGGAATAGAACATGGCATGGGAGAACGTACCGAAGGACTGAGCCTGGAAAGTCCATATGAGCAGGTCCCAATCCACAGATATGAAATGGAAAAAGGGGGAGATTGTGGGGATCATCCTGTCTTAATCTGAAATTTCGCCTGACCCCCGTAGTTTCAGATCCATCTTGTTCGGAGCATCTTCGGCATTACCACATCTTGCTCCCAGCTCAGCTTTATCCATGAAACGGAGGGTCATACTATTGTCCAGTACCTCAGTAGATGCTGCCAGAACACGGGGATATTGCCCAGCTAGGGTAGGATCCATCTGCCGACCAGAACTCATACATGATGCTCGGAGAAGGTATCTAGCGGAAGGGAAGGCTCCCCAGGATATGCGGGGCGTTTCGACCGAGTTGTCATCTGAGGGCCTCCGGTTATTTGACTTGTGAATTCAGCCTTGTTCCGGCCCTGAGAGCCAGACTGGAATGCTTTTGAGGAAGTCACTGGGCAGAATTATTGATTAGGTTGGACTTTTGGGAGGTGAATGGCTAGGGAATAAAGCCCTACCCGACGCAATCCGGTATGAGCCGAGATGATCACTGCACGACGTAAGGCGCCGTGCATATCCTACTAATAATAGTCTAGTCGTTGTTACTCGAGTCTTATGCAGGACTTGCGTTACTCGTGCCTTTACCCCGCAATGTCCTTCACTGGCCTCCACGTCCGATCAGTGGATGATGCCTGTTGATGGTCGCTCCACCGGCCCTTGCAAGCGCAAGACATAAAGCCCTACTTGAAAGAAGGTCTTCGTATTCGACGACCATATCCAATGCTTCCACCGAATAAAGGTGATCCCGAGATTGAGAGAGTCGATCATGTTGAAAAACAAGATGGGGACATGCTTGCGCCAGCAAAGCCCACTCCGGAACAGAACAATGTCGGAACCTTGCAACGTCGCCTGAAATCCCGCCATGTCCAGTTCCTAGCGCTCTCTGGTGCCATTGGAACGGGTCTTTTTGTCGGCACAGGCCAAGTGCTCTCGCTGTCAGGGCCACTGTCGATGACCCTGGCGTTTGCTCTTGGCGGCTTGGATCTCTATGCCGTGATTAACAGCATGGGAGAGATGGCCACTTGGCTGCCTCTGCCAGGTGCCGTCCCTATCTACGCGGCGAGATTCGTGGATGAAGCACTTGGCTTTGCAATTGGCTGGAATTATTGGTATCAATTTGCCATTGGCGTGCCCATTGAAATCAGCGCGGCCGCGATGGTCATTGAATACTGGCCCAACTCCGTGTCGCCTGCGGTCTGGATCACGATTCTTTTTGTACCCATGGTCGTCGTCAATAGCCTGCCTGTCCGGACCTACGGCGAGGTAGAGTTCATCCTGGGGGCGATCAAGCTGACGACAATCGTCGGCTTGATGCTGCTCATGTTAATCATCACGCTAGGCGGTGCACCCACCCACGATCGGATCGGATTTCGGTATTGGAAGCATCCCATGGAGGAGTATCTCAAGACCGGTGCGCTGGGACGCTTCCTAGCCTTTCTCAAGGTGTTTGTCCAGGCGATCTTCAGCTATGGTGGTAGTGAGATCGTTGTGGTAGCCGCGGGGGAAACGGAAAACCCACGACGAAATATCCCCAAGGCGGTGCGTCGAGTATTCTGGCGCATTACAATATTCTACGTTGGCAGTGTTTTCCTCGTCGGCATGTGTGTCTCTGCTCGCGATAACCGCTTGCTGAACGCCATAAAATCCGGCGCGAAGGGGGCAGGGGCTAGCCCTTTCGTGATCGCGATTCAAAACGGTGGGATTCGAGCACTGCCGTCGATCATCAATGCGGTCATCCTGTCCTCGGCTGTGTCGGCCGGCAATTCCTTCTTTTACGCCTCGACGCGGGTCCTTTACTCGACGGCGCTCGATGGCAAGGCACCGCGGTTCCTTCGATATGAAAAGTTCGGGGTCCCGTATGCCTGTGTCGCCATCACCACCGCGCTGAGTCTGCTTGTGTATCTCAATGTGTCCTCGAGCTCCGCTGAGGTCTTCTTTTGGATCAGTAATCTGAGTTCCGTCAGCACCTTGGTGGTGTGGACTGCCATTGGGGTAACGTACCTCCGTTTCCACCGGGCGTTGGAGTATCATGGCATTGCTCGGTCAAGTCTCCCGTATAAATCGCCATTCCAGCCGTATCTGGCATATTTTTCGGTCGTCTTCTCCTCTGTTATGGCACTTCTGAATGGATTTGATGCCTTCTTTCCCGGCCACTTTAGTGCAAAGACCTTCATTCCACCCTACATCGCCATCCCCATCTTTGGAACCCTATATCTCGGCTACAAGCTTGTCAAAGGCACCTCTATCGTCAAGGTAGAAGAAATCGACCTGTGGTCAGGGAAAGAGGAAGCCGACCGCCTGGAGGCAATTTGGGAGCAACCGAAGCCACGCAATTTCCTCGGTATGTCCAATTCCTGCTCGTATGTGACTTGACTCACGCTAACATGGAGTAGAACGAATCTGGTTCTGGATCGCATAACGCAACGCGGTTCTTCTCAGCGTTCAATTGTCCTTGCTATTTAGCCTCGTGGCAAACTGTTATGGATCCAGCCTTGGCTATCTTTACAGCATGGGGAGCTTCCACAGATTGTGTTTCCTGTTTGGCCTGACGAATAAATCAACAATATCTTCTGTAGTTAGCCCCAAAGCCCTACCACGTTGTAATCGAGTAAAACCTGCGAAGAACCGAGCAAGAGTCTGTCTGACAACTCAACGTGTACTCAGGTAGAGAGTAGGTAGCGGGCGTTTGACTAGATTTTGCTTCTATAGCGCTGATAACGCGAAAGTTCACTGCATAATCGCCGTCCGCATATACAACTCAATAAACCCTTTATACTGGTGCTTCTGGGCCATCTGTTCTCCGCTGTGATATCATACCGGCTACTAGTGCCCTTATTATATCTTCTATCTCCGCTCCGCTAAACTGACGATACATTTTAATTGACGGATGATCAAGGCAACCACAATCCCTCGAGCGTACTCTGTGTATAGCTTTCGCTGACACCATCGACGCTCCTCCGCACATACTGGTCCCCAGTACCATGGGAATGCTTGGACTTCGACCCGCGGCACAGGTTTGAAACGTGGTGTTGAAAACACCATCGGAGATGATCAGTGACCTTCCAGTAGACATCCTTGGCAGCTGATTTGCCCACAATGGTGTCCAGATGTCCGTACCCTTCAACCTGGAATCTGCGGTGAAGATGCTCTCCGAACCTTCGTCGGAGCATCTCGTAGTCTCGCAGAGTTGACTCCGGATCAAATATCTCATTTGCAGTTCCAGTAATGAAAAGTACTGGCAATCCCTGTAGATGCAGTAGATCTTCAGGCGTGACAAGTGGGCTCAATTGGTTATCAAAGCACCCGCCACGAGTGCCCATGCAGTGGCCATGAACTCAACTGCAATGTGCCCTGGTCCGCTTCAAGAAGGACTCCAGCATTTACAAGCGAGCAACCACCAAGCGCTATAGGACGTGAAAGGAAAGGTCAACATCGAACATTTACACCGTGGGATAACTAGATACGCCGTGACCTAGGAACCATGCAGTACCAACATACCACGAGCGACGAAAGCATGTTGCCACGCTGTACCGAAACCTAAATCGCGACCACCACAGTTGCTCATTTGCTCGGGCGTGTAAGCCAGCTGAGGTGAGGACTGCATGCATGCATGCATCCAATGGCCGAGTGACAACGATGCATCGCTCTACCAATCGCCGCTAGGTTCTGCTGGCTATCGGAGGTATCGAACACGGTGGAAGATAATACTCGGAATGACTTGGTAAGATTTAGATCTTTAACCTTCAGGATCGGAGGGGCAATCTCCTCAGATTCTCACCTTGCTGACACGCCACCACTTGTCCATGCGGGTGAGCAGGTTGAGTTAGTTATCTGACAAGAAAGATTGAGAACGATTGATAAATGATCATCGTTCCTACGGAGTGAAATACAGCCAGTCATGTGCCTGTATCTTACCGGATAATTACGGACTTGTTACATCCCCGGGGTCACCTGAGGAGCTGCCCGGTATCGAACGAACGGGACCAGCAAGTGGAGGAAACTTCGTATTAACTACTAGTATAACCTTCGTCCCTGAATCCACTACTCCTGCTGCACAATGCAATGTTTATCCCATCTTTTGAGGGTCCGAGGAAGCTATTTGGGGTCAAGAAACATGGTATGTGGCAAGAAGAGATTAGAAAGGTTGTTAAATGATCAAATTATGGCCAGTCTGCAGAAATGTGCCGCCCCCAGGGCCTGGCTAAAACGATATATTTACACTCTAGCAGGCATCAGATGGCACCTTATCGCTGCCCACCCGACGAGATGAATGGTATTCAGCACCTTCGCCCAAACCACGCTTAGCAAACGCTTTCCAAATCTCACACTTGTTAGCACCATTGGTAAGAGCCTTGTCGGCATCGAGGATGGCATCACGCGCCTGGACACAGTTGGGGTTGCAAGGTTGCCTAAAAATACCAAGATTAGCCTGTGTGATGGGTAGAGGAGGGAGAGACGGAGTCGTCACTTACAATGCCATGCCATCCATCACTAGCTTCATGGCGAGATACTTGCCGTCAGTCGGAACTCCGTCCTTGAACTCGGGCTTGGGACCATCGTTCTTGCCGTGTTTATCAATCAGGTTCCACAGCAGCTCGTACAGCACAGTAGCCCACACCGTGCCGATCGCATGCACTTCATCCAAGTCATTGAGACTAGTGTAGGTAAGAGGGTTGGTCTCCAGGGAGGTGGAGAACGGGTAAGCACGGATGCCGCCTTTCTTGTTGGCAGCCCATTCACCCATGGTATAATCGGTAGAGTGAGTATCGCCGGACTTCAGCCGAATTGCGGTGGCCATGAAATCTCCCCAGCCCTCGCCCATGCCACCTGATTCAAGAGCATTCAAGCAGCGGGCGTTAGCTGGTCCACCAGTAAGCCGGTTCGAGACTGTGTACCGCGTTGTTAGTTAAAGCGGTCTTATCCTGGAGGTCCAAGGGGATACATACGACCGTGAGTATACTCGTGAATCACGATACCGGCCTCAAAGGAGCCGTCACGATTGGGTTGGGACTCCGTCCAAATGTACATACGCATGCGACCGGGCTGGCCATCCGGGGGCGTCGCGAAGTTGGCGTTGTTCGTGCCAGAGCCGTCCTGGGCATTCAGGATCACGTAGTCGTTTCCAGCGCCTCCCTTGCCATTGTTGTCGTACTGGAAGTTACCAGCCTCCTCATTGAAGCCTAGAGTATAGAGCAGGTCGTGGTACGTGTTGGCAGTGTAGAACAGCTGAGTGATAGATGCATCGATATAGGAATCTGGCGGTGTCGCATTGAGCGAATACGGGTACTGGAATTTCAAATCGGGGCTATCAGGCCGATGGTTGTTCAAGTACTCAGAACCACCAGTCGGGTTCGACTGCGCAATACCATTATTCCCGCGAGTAGTGGTATAGTTCTTGTCCCCGTCACTGATCCAGGTGAATGCAGACGCGGACGCATCCCATGGATCGCTGATAATGGTACGAGCGCCCTCCGTTGGATCATTGAGGCCCCATGCACTGTGCTTTAGTGTTAGGGCTTATTCGACAGTTCAAGCGTCATGCTGAGAATACTCACAATACTTGGTAGTCCGCTTCGGCCACGTAGTCGACCACACCATGGACATCTTTGCCGGTATTGGCATCAATGTAGGTCAACAGCCAATTGCTGTCAACATCGGTCTCGACCTTCCAGGTCAAGGCAAGGCTGCCATCTTCCTTCTGCAGATAAACTAACTGGGCCTTGGGATCCGACACGGTGCCGGTGACTCCCTTGAAATTGAACGACTCTTGGCCTTCGGTAGCCTCAGTGGAGACTTGATCCACAGTGATAGAAAGCTGCAGAGCTTCGGAGGCTCCCCTGAGCGCTGCTACAGGATCGGTATAGTCCCGCTTCGTCAAGGGGTTGGCATCGGGGATCTTGCCGGTATGGAAAGAGTGGCCATAGGAAAAGATCTTTCCGTTTTTCCCAACCTATATGATGCGGTTAGCAGGGAATACAATATCGGGGGACGGTAGCATACATTGACATTGAAGTCGGCATTGTCAATGTCAAGGCCATGGGCCGTTTGACGAAAGTTCACGTGAGCGACCCCATTGCTACCAATGTAATGGTCCTTGACGAGACGGAAGGTCGCGTCCGGCAGGATATTCTTCACGAGCTGAGTTGCTGTCTCCACGTAGCTCTGCTCGGCGAATGGAGAGAAAGAGGATGACACATCACTAGAGGACTCGATCGAGTTGATATACTTTGCTCCTTGGTGCAGACGGAAGGAATTCAAATCAACCTTGCGACGTTGAAGTCCATGGGCATGATGAGTAGGATGCGCAATGACGGCCAAAGGCAGGCTAAGTGCTCCAGCCAGTAGAAGACCCCTCATGATGAGCTGCGAGAACGTTGAACTCAATGCAAATGAAGAGATGATGGTCTGTGGGATGATTCTGCCATGAATGCCGCGACGCTCAGGTGTTATTTATACCAGTTGAATTGGAGATCGCGACGCGCTGGACCAACGCAGAGAAGCATGTTCTCTTGGCCCGAGACAGCCCGGTGCGAGACATATTGCGATGCATCCATCATTCTGGGGAAAAGGCAATCAGCTGCGCGTTCAAACTCCTGTAATATCCGACAAGCTTCATCTATAGCTGTTTGGGGTTACCTTCCTGCACCTCATGGTGGAGCAATCACACAGGGTCAGACCACTCCGTGCAGAGTATGCAAGAAATGTACAGGGCCGTTGAGTGATAGTCCTTTCTTCGAGCAATTGCGACATTACATGGAAGGAACCACTCCGTCGGCTCTCCGATTGACTTATTCAGGGTCTTCCCGAACGGGCTAGGTCGCTAAGACTTTAGATTGCTCTTAATACCACTTTAGCGCCAATTCTGCGATGCGGGAAATGAATGCCGAGACTTTTCTGCAAGTGCCCAATGGCCCAGGGTCGATGATCCCACAGAATCATCTTGGCATTCTCTTGGGTTACATGCAGGTACAAACCTCGGCGGCGCTTATCAACGTTCCAAGTGAGTCTCCAGGACGGAAAACCGGGCCACAGACCAGTTCAACCCACACTCTGTGAACTATCCTTGCATTCCAACCCCATTAATGGTCAGAAGAGTCCTGCTCCGCATGTTTCAGGCATCATGCCAAGCCCGATAACCATGTACTGTATGAAAGCCGGCATGACCTCATGCACAGCGGATACAAGAGAAGCCTATTACGGCGTGTGTGCACGTGAGAGTTATCTTCTCAAGTTACCTATCATGATAAACCCCGAAGAGGGGGAATTGCCCAAGTATAGTAAGTGTCTTGACAAGCATGCAATACAAGAAGTGGATCCCCGTCGGGGGCTACACATCATGCATGTCAACCCAAGGTGAATACCGGATTCTCCCCGACATGCGCTTAATACCGGCCCATATAGGGCACTCTCGCAAACGAAGTCAGACCGAGTAAGACATTTTTTGAGGGGGACTCAGTACACCCACCATATCCAGTAGCTCCAAGGGCGACAGGTATGTTTGAAAGGAAGTGACGTTGGATTCTGCCCTTCAAGTAGAGATACACTATATGAGGTGCCAGAGCACTGCTATCTATCGTAATCATGTATATGTACAACAGCATCGAAGAGGGAAACGAGAGGGAAAATCAAAAAAAAAAGGACGGAAACAATAGAGAGACCTGAAGCAGCCACCCAATTTAAAGCCTTAAGGGAGTCCTCTCCGAACTCCGGTCCTTATCCCAATATAACTCCGCAAACGCTCCTCCTCTCTCGAGCAGGGTCGCCGGCGGACCTTGCTCTTCGACGCGCCCGGCATCCACGACAATAATCTCGTCGAAATCTACAATGGTTTCCAGTCGATGTGCAATGGCGATGACCGTATGATCGGCAAATTCACTCCGGATGAGCGACTGAATGAGGTCGTCCGTTTTGGTGTCGATGCTAAAGGACGGCCAGGTTAACTATCGCACACTAGAATAAAATAGAATAACAATATAAAATCACTAACCTGCTCGTCGCTTCATCAAGGACTAGAATTTTCCCCTCCGGCCGTACCATGGCCCGGGCGAAGCACAGGAGTTGCTTCTGACCCGGCGAGAATGTATCAGGCGTAATCGTAGCATCTAAGCCACCGAGCTCTCGGACCACATCCCATAGTTGGACCTTCTTCAAGGCATCAATGAGGATGTCATCGTGGATTGAAATCCCGGGGTCCACGTTGAGGCGAACCGAACAGCCCGGTAGGAGGAAGGGCTCCTGAGGGATACAATTCAGCTGAGCACGCAGGTGGTTGCGAGCCAGCAGAGAGATGTCTAGCCCGTCGATGTTGATCGTGCCGCTGGTCAACTCAATGAGACGGAATAGGGACGATACTAGCGAGGACTTTCCACTGTAATTTACGGTTAGGATCGGGGACTGTATAGGGGGAGTAAAGGACGAGAACAAACCTTCCGGAGCGGCCGCAGATGCCAACCTTGGTGCCTGGCTTAATTGATAAAGAAATATGGTCGAGCGCACGGTTCGAGGAGTTCCTATCGCCACGGTATGTTAGTCGAGGTACGAACTGAAAAGTACGACAAGACTCAGAATCATACTTGTAGGAAGCCACCACATTGCTAAACTCGATTGCTCCCCTGGCCGGCCAGTCTGGCGGAGGTACAGCTGTCTCGTCTTCCAGATGCTCCGACTCAATGGTAGACTTGAAGTTGCGAATTCGTGCCACTGCCCCAATGGATGTCTCCAACACGGTCCATTGCTTGATTAGACCCTGCAAATTCTCGGTAAACGTGACGATATTCAGCAGTGCCAACCCAATGAAGCTGGCGCTCACTTTCCCACGCGTCGCGACAGCGATGGATACTAGAACGACGGCAAATCCGGCCACCATCAGGGCAATGACCAGTTCGAGCCAGCGCTGAATGGCGAAGAGCAGATAGAAGGGCTTTTGGGAATCGTTGAGCAATTTGCTGTTGCGTCGTCGGTAATGTTGTTCCCACTTGTAACTCCGGATGGTGGAGAGGCCACTGAGACTTTCCAGGAAGTGGGAGACCAGGGGGGCTTTGGCTTCGATATCTAAATATCGGATCTGGCGTGAGGTACGCAGGTAAAACCGTTGGGTGAAATAAAAGGCGACTATACATGCAGGTATGGTGGCGGCGATGTATCCCGTTGCGGTACAGATGACCACCATTTGGGCTACACAGGTGAAGAAAGTAAGGATGGTATTCAAGACAGAAAGGGGGAGCTCCATGTCGATCAGCTGCAGGTCCTGACTGAATCTGGGGGAGAGGTCAGCAATTATTCGCGTTCACTATGAAGCTGCTTCGGTTGTTGCTCACCGGTTCGTCGTGTTGCCTAGATCGGTGGTCTGGAAGAATGACATAGGGGCACTGGAGAGTTAGCCGAGGAAGAGAAGACAGGATGAGTGGGACGTACTCTAGGACACTTTTCAAGAGCTCGGCGTGCATATTTCTGGCACCACGAGCTACCAGGTTCGCCATTAGATGCCTAGTTAAGGATCAGCATGAGGGAGATGCTAAACAATAGACTGTAGTTCCAGATCTGACAACTCACCAGCAGGAGGTGACAAGTGTAGAAGTGGCCATCACCGCGATAAACGCATAGATACCGAGCCAATATCCCAGTCTCTCGTTGGGATGATCGATATTTGACTTTGCCCATTTCTCCACCCAAAGGGCTAATCTCGTTAGCAATCGCTTATTTCACCTGTGCGAATAAACTTACAAGGGTATGTAATGGTAACCACATAGGCCATGATCAAAAGAACAAAAACCGCGGACCGGAACACCCCCAGAACCTGGGCATAGTACCAATAGATGGACATATCACCCGTGCGTCGCCCATCCCCCTGCGGTGTCGGTTCGATTTGTACCTCTGGGCTGGCCAACGAGAGCCGATGTTGAGAGAGCCGGTTTTGCGAGAGGCGGTTTGGCACGAATTCGCTTTGGCCGAACTGATTCTGTGAGAACTGCTCATGTGAGATCTGTTGAGAAAACCGCTGCGAGAAAGGTTGAGAGAATTGCTGAGAGAAACGTTGGGAGAATCTCTGGGAGAAACGCTGAGAGAACCGATTTTGAGACAATCGATTTCGAGCCCTGGCTCTGGGGATAGGGATCTCGGGGGCTTCCAGGTGAACCGTTGCCTTCCGTTTTGGCAAGGCCGCCAGACTACGAATATAGCTGTCAGTTCGAGAATGGAGCTCTTTGTATGTTCCCTGTTCCATGATGTTGCCTGATGGGCCCAGAGCGATGATATGGTCCGCAACGGAGAGGCGAGAGGCTAAGACATAGTCAGAATGAGGTGAAGCATCCAAAGGATATCGAAGGAATACGTACGACTGTTCGTCGTCAGGATCACTGTCGTACCCAGCTTCCGTAAAAGCCCCCCTGGAGCCAACAGCGCATGGAAGACCGCATCCTCCGTGGTGCGGTCCAGCCCGCTGAAGACATCGTCGAGAATAATAGTCTCTGCTCTGGAGTATACAGCCCGGGCCAGAGCCTTTTATAATGTACTAGGTCAGCATATGACTATGCATGGAAAGGACATGAGATCGAAGTGAACAAAAAGAAACTTACCACGCGTTGCTTCTGCCCTCCACTCAGAATAGCACCTTGAGTCCCTAACATAGTCTTGTCCCTATTTGGTTGTTTGCGGATATCATCATATAGGGCGCATGCGTTGATCACGGTATTATACCAACGCAGGTCGTACAGCGACTCTCCCAAGATATTGTCCTCGATGGTGTTATTCGTCAACCAGGGCGTCTGCGAGCAATACGCAATCGAGTCGGGATCGGCCTTCAACGCTCCCGAAAACATGGGCGTCTCTCGCAGCAACGCACGCACAAACGTGGACTTCCCAGATCCGACGGGTCCGACGACAAAGGTCACCGTGCCTCGATGAATCTCAAAGCTGAGATCTTGTACCACGGCTGGCTTACTCGCTTCCCAGCCAGCGCTGCGGCCCTCTGCCACAAAGACTGGACCGGTGACTTCGTAGTACAAGGGTAACTTCTCGCGACTGGAGATACTGGGGACCCCTTCCACAACCGACATGCCCTTTCCGTCGTAGACGACTCCAATCTCCGTTAGTGCACTAGATAAAACGCTGGCAGGGATGCTGATGTTGCTCCGAGTCCCTCGAGGCTCATGTGCGTCGTCCCTTCGTGGGTCTGACTGCAAGAACTCGTTGACTCTTTTAATCGAGCCGATTGCGGTGGCGACTCCCGTTGCAGCTTCAACCAGGTTAGAGATTGGAGTGGCAAGAAGAGTGAATAAGGTGAGCGATGTGAACGCCTTAGTGGCCGTCAGAGTTTCATCCCCTTTATGCCGTGCCATGAGGGCGTAGATCGTGAACGAGGCCAGCGGAGAGAGTGTGACGTTGCTGTATGCCACGCCGACCACTAGAATGAGGAGTCGACGGAATTTTTCCGATTTGACGACCTCTTCGATACGCATCGTCTGGACGAGGTTGAACAATTTATCGGTCAATCCAGCTGTGCGGACTCCTTTCACAGATCCCAGAACCTTGGCAGTAATATCGACTCGTTTTTCAATGGCCTCCAGCCAGACCTGCTGGCGAGGGCCAGCCAGTCCGGAGATGAGCAATGACAGGGCCATACAGACTACTCAAAATTAGCAATCTGTCAGACGGTAAAAGAGGAAACATGTGCACATACTAAATACTACGATGATCGGGGCGATACTGGCGACTCCCAGCTGACGCCATAGCAAATACAGCGCAATAGGAATCTCGACAATACAAGCCCAGGCATCGTGGATGTAGTGTAGACCACCGGAAATACGCTCCATATCTGCACTCATTAAAGTGACAGGGGCACTGGTCTCAACGTCGATGTCACGCATGACCATGACGTGACTGTAGAGCATGTCGACCAGGCTAGCCCGTATCATGGAAACCACTCGATATGCCTGATGGTGGGCGAAGGCCGTGGAAACCTGACAAATTCAGTGTCAGCTATATATCGTCTTACATTCATAGAGTAGACAAACTCACCGCGATACCCGTGTAGACTATAGCGAATGCTCCAATCAGTGCATATCCCTGTGACTTGGGGTGAGAAAGCTCGTTCGATCCCACCCAGGTCGTGGTTGCTTCGACCAGAAAGGGCTGTGCGAACGTGAATGCCACCTGCAGCGCTCGAGGGAAGACGCCTAACAATATCGGAACCAGGTAGTATCGGCAGCATGCCCAGAGTAAACTGTGAGGGGAATTCCGGTTGGGTCCTACAATGATTTCCCTGTCATCAGGACGAATATAGCTTGAAGAAGTAGAAGAGACAAGCTTACCCTTGTTCCATAGCGCATAGAGTCCGCTGTCACCATGCCCCGTAGAGCGAAGTGAGTCCTCAATTGGGGGAAGCAGCTCAACCGTAAGATCCACGCGATTGCCGAGCATTAAGAGCGGGTTGAGCCAGCAGTAGAGACATTCTCCCAGAATCCCCACGGTCGATTCAGGAGGCGCATCTTTGTAGTTTCGTCTCAAGAGGGACCTCTTTGGCATTGTTTCAGTAATCAACAACACCACCTTTATGCAGAGTGTCACCGTATAGAGGACGGCAATCGAGCGATTCCTCTCCAGGAAGTATAACGTGCGGGTTTCGGCCAAGGACAAGATCGAGGAAAGGAACAGATAACCACAGTTAATGGTAGCGGGCCGAATCGTACAGATATGCTCATAGTGAGAAAGAATACCGAATATGATGGAAGCCAGCCAGGAGACGACAGCCGTTGCGACAGTAGCTCGAGTGGTTTGTCCCGACGGCGCCGCCCAGAGGCCGACGAGGGTTAGCTGGAGGACGGCCAACAGAGCATATCCACCCTGGCGAGTAGGTCAGTTTGCATACTTTCTTCATGGGCTCTTTCGCTGCAGGTGCATCATACTAGCTTTACAAAATACCGATAACCTCCCTGTGCCTTTATTGTCTGTTGTCTCAGGTGGTATATGCGTGGCAAGGCCCAAAAGAGAAAAAAGAGGGTCACCGGCAGTGTGAGGACCGTCTCTTCGAAGTATAATGTGAAATCAAAGCCATTTTTGCACTCATGGCTGACAACAGGCCCAAAGGTATCTTCGACAGCAGTAGGGCATGCTGCCGTTGCTCTGGAATGAAGCCAGAACGAAGACATGGAGATTGCGAACTAGTGATGTTTGATTGTATTTTCATCTATGGTCGTATCGTCCACATTATGAGATAGAGAGTAGATCATGGTGATCGACTTTTGTTCATCAACGTTGGAAATTTGACGGGTTGGCTCGTGGCGGTGCCCGTGGGTCCGAAATGGCCGTACTTTATATGCATGGTGAGCCGCCGAGCTTAGGGTTTACGACGACTATTCTATTAATGGCAATCTACGGAACTGACACTCGCAGAATCACATATAAACTCATTCTCCAGACGTACATGACATGCAGGCTCATCAAATCTCTACCTGTACCTCCTAGTTCCTGCCAGATCTGCCCCCCACCACCCCCACTCCAGCTCTGACGAAGAACTACTTCAGGCCCCTCTGAAACAATTTATGCCACGCGATGAAGACCATCTAATCCGGCCATGTGCGCTGCTAGTGCTAGACCGCGTTTGCGTTTCACTTCCAGGTGTTCCTGCTGATCTTCTTGGCCTCTCATCTTCAGCCCCAACCCCGAGCCTTCAACGCTAGCATCAGCATCAGCGTCAGCATTGGCATTGACATCAGCATCAGCATCAGCATTATCACCGTCTTCCAAATATTCCAGAAACTGGAGAACCTCGTCGGGCGCTACCGTCCGGCGACCTTTTTTGAAAACATACTTCGAGATAGCGGACGCAAGAACACCTTCCTCCGAGCCCGTCGTACTAGTCTCCTGGTGGCTACCGGGTTTCAGGAAATGGCTAACAATGTATAGCCATTTGTCATCCCAGCACAGGACTCGTGACTCGACATCATATCGCTGCCAGGGCTTGATCTCCCGTCGGAAGATACACGACACGCCGCCGAGCACGGGAGTGAGATGTTTCAAGGTTCCGGCTTGTTTCGCCTCGACTCGCTGGGCACTTTCGTTGGACGGCTTTCTCGATGGTGGACATAATGGGGTAATAACGTCCTTGAAGAGCAGTAGCAGTAGTTCAAGCCGGTTGATATCCAAATCGGCGTAGAATGTGCTGTTAGACTTGTGCAAATTGAAGTCGACCTCCGCCAGAGAACAATAGGATCGGGTCCGAACAGGACGAAAGAGGGTAGAAGGACCATTGCCTGAGGAAGGTTGATTTCGTTTCCAGACAATATGGTTCATGAAGATTGCGATAATTCGGGCCTGTTAATTCGTACTCACGCCGTGGCGGTTAGCCCAATACTTCGTTCGACTCCACGTAGGAAAATGCAGACTATCACTAACATGCCATAATCCAGGAATAGCTTTAGAATCATAGACGAAAAAGAGCAGCAGAATGCTGCCCATCACGGGGATGAAGGAGTACACAGACATAGCAAGAATTGTAGATTAAGAAGTAACGAGAGAAGAGTTGTCGCAAAGTAAAGATGAAAAAATGATGGGGGCCACCGGCGATATAAATATAAGCCCCCACCAAGGAGCTGAAGGCCTCGGACAGTAAGAATTAAACAGCCCCATCCTTGCCTGTTTGGGCACTAGAATAGAAGCCCAACTTTCACTGTGAATTGATCTGATGCTACGGGGGTGTTGTTGGGGAAATTTCAGTGCGGTAGAGGGTATATTGAAGGAAGCAGGTCTATCGGTACAAAACAACAATCATGGGTACAAAAATCAAAACACCTTCATCGACTGAATAACAGACTCAATCTTCTCCATTCCACAAGTTCCAGCAGTGCTCATATAGGTTTCCCACTATTGGCTACATTAGCATTGCGCAAACAACCTCATGCGATAGGGAAGGGCAACTCACCTCGTTCAACACTCCCATCAGGGCAGCAGACCCAGTCAACTCTCTCACCATCTCGAAATACTCTTTCGTCAATTGGAACGGCCGCGCCGTCAGGTTGGGAACGTACTTTCCGACCAACCGCTTCGGGTCGAGCGCATGGCGGTCGATCAAGTCCAGCAAACAGCGTCGGAAGCCAGGCACACCGGGGAGGAGATGTGAAGAATGGAAGGGAATGTCGATGCCTTTGAGAGGAATTGTCGCACAGCCTCGTGTGAGGGCTGTTCCGGTCTGGGTAGTAGCAACTTGGGATTTTACTAGCGAGGTTAGCTGGTCGGGAGACAGGACGTTCGAAGGGAGAGAGGCAGCGGCCGCGTTGATATGATCGAGGACGGATTTGAGGCACTGGAGAGGTTGGATCTGAGGTGGGTTAGCGAGTGAATAGAAGAGAACAAGAGTAATGAAGGCTTGCCTGTCCTGCGCACACATATTGCAACCCTGCAACGTTGAAGTTGACAATCTGCAGCAACTGTCCTGTCTCGGCTGCAATGGTTTCCACCACCAGCTGCAGCGCTGCTTGGTCAAAGCCTAGAGAGTCCCTGTGAGTAATGGCTAATCTTAGCTGGCCAGACACAGCAGGACAACACCTACCTGCGCAGACCCGGCTTGGATCAACCGCACACATCCGGAAGTCGGATTGCCCTCGGTCGTCGCGCTCCACGGCGAACTGCATCAACAATCCGCGATAGAATACCACTTGCACCAGGCTCTCCACACTGAAAATCTTCCCAACCGCACCAAGGGCTGCATACTCGCCCAGCGAGTGGCCGGCGTACGAGCTCCGTTCCGAGATTAATCCTCTCGCCTGGAGATCCGCAAAGATCGCCAGCTCCATCAGCGTCAAGGCTGGCTGGGTGAACTGCGTGGCCGACAACAGCCCCTGTGGTGCATGGTACGTGTAGAACTCAGTGTCCTCGTCGATCTCGGGGAACAACGGGAGGAGCTGGACGTTTCCATCGGTGCCCACGGATTCTCGCTTCATGCTCATGTATTTGTCGCGGATGTGCCGACCTTGCGGGCCTCCGAAGTACACGGTGAGCTCCTTGGGGTCATTGCGGACGATATCGGTTATGCGGAAGCCTGATGACCGTTTAGTAAACGCTTACCAGCCAAAGAATGCTTGGAACAAAAAGGATCAATTGAAACCCACCGTAGTTGTCGGAGAAGTAGGTATCAGCATAATCCCACACTTGCCGTGCAGCCTCGCTCTGGGTATACAGCTGCATTCCCATCCCCTTCTGCTGGCTTCCCTGGCCCGTGAACAACAGCGCCGTCTCCTCAGGTTCCACTTCAGCCTCTCCACGTAGCACTGTTTCCCCGCGCTGAACATGCTTCGCTTCGACGGAGATGATCTTGCGGCCTGCCAGCATACCCACATGCTGGAAGATGACCTCAATTTCATCTCCCGGAAGCACCATGCTTGTGAACGAGCAATTGAAGCTGCGGAACGCACCAATGGCCGACGCGCAAGTATAATGCTCGACGAGACCACGGACACGTGCCGACGTGTACATGCCGTGCGTGATCAGCCCCGGTAGATCAGCATACCGTGATAGGGAGGACGAGACGTGGATGGGGTTGAAATCCCAGGAGACATGGGCGTAAGCCTCGTTCGAGTCCGGCATTCTCATCATGAGTGACGAACCCTCGCCCGTGAGCGGCATCGGGTTGTTAAACATGTGCCGTTTCTTGACCGGGCTGCCATGGCGCTGCAGGTAGTCCATGACGGGGTTGCCACGACAGGTGGCGGCATAGAAGGCAACTGTTGCGACAGAGCTGGACCGACCAGGCAGTGAGGACTTCAGACGCACATCACCCACGGTGGTAACGGCCTTGAATGTATCCCTGCTGGCGTATTGATAGGTCGACTGCAGTACGAAAATTAGTGTCTGGTCCTGCAGATCTAGGTCAGCATCGCGTGGCTTGAACCACGGTTTCGACTTCAGCAGAGCCACCTCCATGGGCCCGCTGAGGCACAACTCCATTTCTTCTTCGTCGACCTTCCGGAAGGTGTTCTCCCAGTCCGTGTGCGTGCCGCGGTACAGGAATTGGCTGGTCAGCTCGAGGACGACCTTCCCTTCCTGGTAGACGTCACCGCGCACTTCCACAAGCTTACCAGCATCCTCGATCGTGATGGCCTGAATACGAGACTTGGTCTCGAGGACAGCGCCCTCCTGGATAGGCTGCGCGTCTGGGGGGATGCGGAAACCATTGGTGAGATGCACCAATGTCAAGAGATCCACGTCCAGCTCGTGCGAGAACAGTGGCTTCATCAGTGCCTCCCAGCCGACAACTACCCCAAAGTCCAGCGGTGCGTACAGGGTCTTTCCACGCCGCTTGCTGGACGCATCGCTGGCGTTCTGCACACAGTGCGCAAACTCTGCAATCGAGTCCGCCGTGACTTCGAGCTGAGTCTCGCAGAATGTATCATGCACGGATGTCCACTTCTTCGGCTGCGAGCTGGTGAACCACACACGGTAGTAGAACTCCTTGACCCGCTCATTACGACCCTCCATGATCTCATGGATGGGCGCGTATACAGCGTCGCGCCGGTACTGGTACATCAGCCGCAAGCCGATAGCCGCACCCCCAGCGTTACGGTAGTTAATGATCTCCAGCGTGATGGACCCGGACTCGTCAGCACGGATATCGACGACCTTCACCGGTTCAGAATGTGGGCGGTATTCGAACAGCGAAACAGTCGTGTCGGACCGGTGCCCTGCCTGGACCATCACATAGGAATCGCGCGTCGGCTGGAAGAGGCGGCGCAGTGGGTTCTCAGAAATCGCCCGGCCCTGCACAATGGTAGGAGCATTGAAGAATGCCTGGCGCCAGCCACCCTGCGTCCCACCCAGCGCAGCTAACCACTGGTCCAGCGATGGCATCGGAGCGTTCATCTCGGGAGATACCTCGTACAGTAGCGAACCAGTGTTACCAACGGGGACGCAGCTGATCCCTGCCTGCGCCATACCCCACTCACTGACGACGGGGTAGGGCCCAAAGCAGTGCACGATGGGGATTCCATCCTCGAAGTAGTCGGGATCCCGCATCTCCAGACGCTCAATATGCCCCTCGTGGATGGCATCCAGGATCTTGCGCGCTGGCTCATCGGCCACCGTGGAGTGGCGCGCGGCGACTGGCCCGTGTAGAATACACACTCTCCCAACATCGCCATCGACCACCGCGTTGAGATCCTCCGACTGCCACAGCGAGTCCTTCTTGAAGTACTCCTCGAAGTTCTCATCCAGCACGGGCACGAACGGGACCGGCTTCTGGCCACGTCGTCGGCACAGGTGCAGGAAGTACTGCGCGTCCTGTGTCCCCATGAGTTGGTCAGCGGCACAGGGGTTCTGCTCAAGGAATCGGTCAATAGCTGGCTTGGGGTCGTGAAGATCATCCACGCTGGTGACCACAGAAGAGGTCATCTCCATGTCGTCACCATCTTGGCCCTCCTCTCTTTCATGGCCGATCCGGGCTTCCACGCGCAAAAGGAAATCAAAGAGAAACTGCTGGAACGAGGCATCGATCCAACGGCCTTCGAGTGAAACATATGTCAACTCGACCAGCCGCGAGATGACCTCGGCATAGGTCATCTCCTCCAGATCCACCACGTTCCCGAGCTCGTCGCGTCCAAACCAGACTTTGTGCGAGTCGGCGTTCAGTCGGCGGATCAAATAGTCGCGCTGTTTCTGGAGTTGAGTGAGACGCTGTGCGCGATCGAGCTTGAAGATTGTCCGGTCTAATTCCGCCCAGAGGCGCACACCACGCGTCGCCAATTTGTGGATGGGCTCTCCCATCTCGGAGGTCACCGTCATAATTCCCCCGGCCGGCTGGGTGTAGGTCTGCTCCCAGTCCGCCTCGTCAGCCACACCAGGTGTTGCAACAATAGCTTGCTTCACGGCGGCGCTGGTATGGGCCTCCTTGGCGGTCATCAAGCGGCTACCCAGCAGAATGCCGTCGAAGGGCATGAGTGGCCGATTGTACTGCTGCGCCCACTCTCCAGTCAGGTAGGGAAAGGTGTCCTCAGCCCCTCCAAAGCCACTGCCTGCCACCAGGATCAAGTTCGAGCAGCTGCGGACCGCCCCATAAGCCTGGAGGATTGGCTGGTGGAAGTCTTCGAAGGAGTGGTGGCCACCCCCGCGACCGCCAGTCCATTGGAGGATCACCGGGAAGTTTGGATGGGCCCGCGCGATGGCAATGACCTGGTGAATCGCCGGGAGCGACCCCGGTTTGAAGCTGATATGGCGCAACCCAAGATCACGGATGTAGCTGGTGGCGACCTCCAGCGAGGGAACGCCAGCGCCCACCGTAAGACCCTCGATGGGCACTCCCGACGCCCGGAGACGTGTGAGCAGCGGAACCTGCCAGCGAACTGCCTTAGGGGCAGCATAGATCATATTGACAGTGATTCCGCGACCCGGGGGGATCTCGCGTAGTAGACGCTGGATCGCCGTTTCAAGCTGGTCCGGGCGATGATAGCCTCCCAGGGCGAGTTCGACAT